ATTTCTTCCTACAAGTGACTAACAGATACATTTGTAATTATTATACAGTGTATGAAGTATTCACACCTGAAAATATGTCTGAAGGATGTCACCGGCTGATGTGTTTGAGGCCAGATCTTCAGCTTCTTTCTGAATCCACTGGATCACTCTCTCTCTCATCCAGTCACGATCAGATAGGAAACACACGACTGCAAGCGCGAAGCGTGAAAAAGAGACCGGCTTTAGACAGCCACTCAAATTTGCTGATTTGTGTATAAATGTGAAATATTTCGTGACTTACTGGGGCTCACGTCGGCCTTTGTTGGTTTCTCTGCAAATAGAAACACACACAAATCCTTCATGACTGCACAAGCTTCACTCAAAGCTTGAAGAGTTTGTGGATACTGACCCAGACAGTGTCCTCTGTGCTCCACGTGTATCTTGGTCTGGGTGATGCAGGCGTCTCTGTGCAGTTCACAGTGATTCCTGTAGGATTTTCCGTTGCTGCCACACACCCAGTGCTCTGACACGTCACACTGCTGCAAAGGAAACAAAAGAGGCTTGTCAATAGAAGATTACCAAAAAATGGTAGCTGCAGAAATATTACCTGCAGTCTTTCCCTAAACTAATACAGATGTACACATTTACAAGTACGCATGTTTGCTAGTAGTCAGTGCCTTTACCTGTAAACAGCGACAGACTGGTTCTCCTCGGTCAGTCGATACACACTCTCTACCTGCACCGCAGAAAGTCCTGGCACACACCGACTCATCCTAACACAGAAGAACACACACAGGGACAAAGACATTGTCATCGCAGTGAAGAGAATTGGGAAGAGTGGAGGAATAATTTGGGGTGGGTGTGCTCCACATTCCAGATGGTGACCTTTGACCTTCGTCTGAAAGGCCACATGGCACGTTGAATGACCATGACTTTCTCCCTCTCTCGCACGCACAAACACACACAGACAAAATGTATTGGAGCAGCTGCGCAGCGATGCATCTCATTTTAAATTCTGTCTTCTTCAGGACTTTTTCATTGTTTAGAATTTAAAATTTAATTTCACCACCTCCATTTCTGAGTGAGACAAAAGCTGATTTATCAACAAATGTCCATTTAAACCCAGTTACATATTAAAGGAACTGAAAGAA